AATCATTTTCCAACTCGATTTTGGAATGCTTCTCACTTGGGCGAGAAGAAATCGTTCACTCTCGTTTTTTAAGGTAACTCGCGTTTTCTAAAAGGAGAATTTCCATTAATTGCTAGCCAATTTTACTCACAATCATTTTGTAAATGAGCATGAAATCGAGAGAAATCGTTGCCGAGGCGATCATAATGCGAGCGCTAACTAAACATTTGGAAATGTTTTTGTTTTTTGGAAATGTTTATTTCGTTTTGTTCTAAATCTCGTTTTAATCTTCGTTTAATGGGAATGTCCTCGTCTCAGACGAAATTTTTGTGAAAAATCGTTTTATCGTCGCTGTGTTACATTGAATCTTAACCGTAAAAATGAATTGAGTATAGTTAACGATAGTTTCAATTGTTTAGTATTAGTATTTACATTGGGTTGGTGAATTGAAAACTGCCGGCTATTGTCATCTTTGACAGTGTGAGCACTTTCTCCTCAAAAGAAACCCACTTTGGTGTTAATGGAAAAGTTGTAGAGAATCAAAAATCAAGCTTATATCCAAATTTTCAGAACGATTCAAAACTGGTTTTCAAGAAATGCGAAATTTACGAATTTTCACAAAACTTGCATTTCAAGCGAAACTACTAAGTGTATCTTTTTGGAAATTTGGCTATAAGCCTAATTTTTGATTCTCTACAACTTTTCTATTGACACCAAAATGGGTTTCTTTTGAAGAAAGTGCTCAAACTGGGACATCTCCAGTCCTCCATTTTTGAGTCTCACACTTGTCTCACACACAAACCAAAATCCTACGAAAGAGGAATCCGCAAATTGCCTGTAAAATGGGCAGAAGTCATCAATCATAATGGAAATTATTTCGAATGAATTCATGGTTTTATTTTTCAATAAATTTTAGCTCAAAGTCCGGCAGTTTTCAATTCACCAACCCAAAAATTTGAATTGTTTAGTATTAGTATTTATTGTTTGATATCAGACGAATATTACTATAAGCTTGTCAATAGACTTGGCAAGAGTTAAATCCTTTAACAGAGAACACACAGTATTCCTTTCCCCATAGTATTGACACCAATCCGAGAGCAACGGGACAACCGAGTTGAAGCCATGGATATTTGTGGAAACGATGATAATAGAAACCATTGAATGATAGGGCAATGAAGCGATTCAACGATAAGGCTACAAGAAAGTATGAGGAGATCGATGTTGGAGTGAGTGGTTACCGATTTGAAGAAAACCCGAAATGTTCACACTTGGCTGCAGGAAGAACACTATCCACTCAAAAACCTCATTTTCAAGAGTATAGGTCCGTAGAAATGGAATGCTAAAAAGAATAAGATACTTTTATCGATTACACAGTTGTTTTTAAGCTTCTGGCTTCTTATTTCTTTCTTCTTGCTTCGCTTTCATAACTATAAAAAGCTTCTATACTTCTCGTTTCCGACCCGATGTTTCTTTGCTTATTTAGGTTAACTTTATACTTTTTTTCCTTTCATCTTATTCTAAGCTAGCCCAAAATGGTTCTTAACATGGTTGGATATAAGGTAGAGAACGGTCTTATACTTGTAATTGATAAGTATCGAGAATTTCTATTATTTCGATTAAATTTAAGCTCACAATGTTGAAAGCACACGATAGAAAGCGATGCTTTGAAGTATCGCGAAGACACAACGGGCCAACGAGTCGCCGATCAATAGGAGGCGAACGACTTTCAAAAGAATTCGACTCTTCCAACAAAACCACACACCGATCAGGTTGACAAAAATCGAGGCAAAAACACACTGGAAAATCTTTGCTTTTTCGAATCTTTGCTTTTTCGAAAGGCGAAAAGCCTACAATGAAGTGAATACAAGTGAAAACGTGGCGAAGATCCTGATGTCGACTGCTGCCATTCATACTTGCCGCGTAATTTGTCATGTTTGGTAGAAAAAAATATATTAAAAGTATCATCGCTAAACGGTCAATGATCAGAATTGAACACCTAAAAAAAACTTACCGAGAATCAAGAAGAATGTGGCGATGATAACAAATATTTCAAGACAAAATTCACGTGTTGAATGCACTTTTATTGATCGCGATTGTTGCTGTTGCAAAATTGGATTTGTTATGACCATTGATCAGAATATATGGGATATTTTACTTAGGCAAAAAGAATAGAGTGATCTTTTTTTAGAGGTGATTCTCCAAAAAGCTTAGCTTATCAAAAAGAATAAAAAAGAACTGTCCCATACAAGTGAGGAGAGCTGTAATTAGAGCTTTTGATGTCCCAGAAAATTGCCGTCTTGCCGATAGAAATTTCTTGAGATCATTTTTATCTTTTAAACGTTCATAAGTTTAACTCAAAAAAATATGGGCAATAGATTCTTGTAAAGTTTAAAAAGTAAACAACTTCTGTTTTCAAAGAGAAAAAGCCAGAGTATTTAAATAAACTTTTTCTTTTGGGCAATTCATAATTAAACGACACCTTACCAAGACAAATCTTCAAGAAAAGCCTGTTCAGAGTTTTTTTTCCACAAAATTCCACCAAAACTTTATGATTTAAAATAAACATTAGGAAGAACTATTAAAGAAAAAAACGTTTTCATAGAGTATCGGTATCAAATCGCAAGCCACATTGACGTCAAATTGGAAAGAGTAAAAAAGGAAATTTGCTCATTGCCATTCGATTTATATTCAGCGATCTGAAATTAGTGAGTTCTAATTCTACTTTTGAATACTTACTGAATATTTCTCGATATTTTCTTAGGTTGCAGAAGTTCGGGTAGGCAAAGAGTCGAGTTTAAAAATATTGATCGTTAAATTGGACTTTTCGCCGAGTTTCCACCCAGTAACAAATACGAGACGAATACTCGGCCTAGCACTGACAAAGGAAATAAGCTCGATCATAACTGTGTGAGTTTTTGTTACCGAGGATCTAATTATATTAGTAATTTTTGAAAAGTCGTCAATTGTCTGTGTGCCATTAACCAATACGCCTTACTTGAACCAGCTTCAATGACAACAACAACAACAACAACAACAATGGCAACAACACTAGATCGAGGCCACTCGTTCAGGAGTACAAATTGACTACACTGGTTGGGAAATTTTTTTGAAAAAAGTTTCCGAAACTTTAGAAAAACCCAATTCTCTAGATGATCGTCAGCATGATCACAGCGCTTTTGCTGTGGGCGGTGAACTTGGGCCCTCACTTAATGCCCACTCAATACAGTTATTTCTTGTTTCACACGGTTGTCTACATGCTTTGCTTGCTTGTTAACAGGTGAGAGTCAATCTTGTCTTTTTGAAAAAGCGTTCGATGTTGCCGTCATTTTATTCATGAAAGCGCTTTCAGTATTGCATATTCTGTGTTGTTACGAGGTAGGAAAAGAGCAAGTACAGCGGTGGCAGTTAAACCCAAAAAATGTGTCTCGATTGCTTACTCTTTACATCTCATCTTTTACCCCATTCGCCTTTTCCATTTAGTTCCCATTTAGTTCCCATTTACCTCGTCGTCTCTCACATTTATAACTCGTTAAATTTGCATGATCACATTCATGAAAGCCTCGGCTAAATTCTTTTCTCAAAATCTACGCAAAAAACACTAAATTTTAAAACCACAAAACTTCAATATAATTCTTTGATTTTACGGAAGTGGGACAAATGCGCTGAAGTGATTTGTGAGGTGAAAGGCGAAGAAACTGTTGGCAAAACTGCTGCGACCGAGTGCTACCGAGCGTGGTGAACCGCGACCAGTGAATCCCGGCGCAAAAACTCTAGACGAGTTTGTTCGTGAAGTGAATCCCATTAAAGAGAAACAAAAAAAAAATGCACTGCGACCTGTTGGCAATGGTTTTTTACTTCTACAAACGAAGCTCACCATTTTTTCCAAATCCTTCAAGCCGCCTTGATCGTTTCTTGTGAGAAATTTCGTTTTCTGAGAAATGGAAGAACGAGTACGAGCACGAAATCGGGTTCTTCCTTTTTCTTGCGGTTTTCTGAGCTCTTTATTAAAACAGTTGACGCTCGATAAAGTGGAACTTTTTTAAAATGTTTTAATAAATTCAAAAAGTTGTGATCGAAGTCAATGCTGATAGAGAATGCACAAATAAAGTAAAAATGGGAAATGAGTTGAAGCTAAAGTGTGTTTCTTTCAAGTCATAAGGCAAAATCAGAAACAGAACTTGTCTGAATATTTTTAAAACAAAGTAATATTCAGTCCATGTTCTTTTCTATTTTGCACTATTACTTGAGAGGAACACAGTTGAAGCGTTCTAGTTGAAGCTTTCTAGTTGAAGCGTTCTAGTTGAAGCGTTTCATGCTTTATTTCATCATGATTTATCAAAGAATGTGTCAACTCTTCATTCCACATGGGAAAACCTCCACTATATTGTGGAGAAAAGTTTGAAAATAACGGGTTCTCCTAGTGCTTGATTTCCAGCATAATTTTGTCGTCTTAAGATGAGTGAGATTTCGAGTAGTTGCTTTCCTTTTGGAGAATTTCGAAACTTCTAGCCGAAATGGGACAGAGTATAGCCACCAGCTCCCCCACTCGTTTTTCAAAGGGTCGGTTCTTCACGTATCATTGACTAGCCACCAACAAAATGCCGAGATTTGCATCACCACCAGCTTGCGTAATCACGTTCATCTTCTCGGCGGTTTCAGCCAACTCGAAAGCTCTCGGGTTCGTGTCGGCTGCTACGAGCAGAGCATTTCGGTCGGAGAGGAGTTTGATGGCCTTGGCTTTTCCCTCCTCTGTGCCCTCTTCCAAAAGCTCCAGCACTTGATGGTTGAGCTTGACTTGGACAGCGATGGTTTTCTTGTTGAGAGTGGGCGGCTTCGTCTTCGCGGGCTAAGGTCGAATGTACACAAAGTCCTATTTTTCCAAAAAATTACCTTTAAATACTCCGCCAGAAAGTTTGTTTATAAAAAATTTGCATGCAAAGATTCTGACTTGGCTAGAAATCTAAAAGGGAATCATTTTTTATTCTGCGCGCTTTTGTATACTCAGTTTATTCAATTTGCATATGACTGTGCTGAATTCGTCATACCCTTTTACAGGTTTTGTTTGTCAAATTTTTATTTCTTTCTTAAATATCTCGTTTTTAGAATGCCTACTCGATGTTCACTGGATTGCGTGCGCGTTTGTGCCAATTGGTGAGCATTTTCCTGTTATCTAGGCTAGCCTTTTGTTTAAATTTCATTGGGTTAACATTTTCCTCTTTAGGCGTGCTTCTCATCGCGTCGTTGGCATTGTTGACGTGCAAAAAGTCGAAAAACAAGGCTAATTTTAAGTATCTTTGTCGTAAAGTGCGTTTTTTTAGGTTTTTGGAATCGACTCGTTTCCTTTGTGAATCGAGTAAATTTAGATTTTGAATAGAAATTATATAACAATCTTTGCTTTTTTTGTATAACAATTTAGAATGAAGCCGTGTCTAGCCAAAGCCAGAAACAACACAAGACGCCGACCAACAACACCATCAAGAGCAAGAGTCAATACCGAAAGGTCAACAGAATGGCACCAACGGCACCGCGTACGTTTGTTGCCGCTAAATTTTGATTCATTTAATCAGCTAATTGATTGAATAACGATTATTAGTTTAGCATAATTAGACTTGAGATTAACCCGTTAAGAGCTAGAGATGTAACCATTTGTCTAATTTGTTTGCTTTAGCCATGATCATGACCACTCATCGTGTCGAGAAGTCTGAGCGCGTTTCCGTGCATGCACAAGCTACTGAAGATAATATGGTAAGCTATTTGATTATTAAAATCACCCTTTTCTTCGTTTAGACTGAAGCTCGATCAAAGAAACCGACAAAACCGAGAAAAAAGAAGGTATTTGATCATTTGCATCTTCTATTCTTTATTCTTTGTCATTTTAGCATTCAACTGGCTCGCTCGATCAATTCGATGTGACGCAACAAGAGAAAACTATCGATATGGTGGGATTTTTTATAGTTTTAGCCTATAAATTTGCGACTTGATCAAAATTCAATTATTGTCCAACTATCAGTGATTCTTTCCATTTACAGGAACGAGGCGGACACGTGTCTCATCATCCGCTGCGCCCGTCACTCACTCAAACGTCGCCCGACAAAATCACGCCCACGCCGAATAAGGGGCCGACACCCAACAAAGCACCGACGCCTAACAAAATCACGAAAAACACCCTTACTTCAGAAGGTCAGCTCCTTGAAAGTTCTTTAAAAAGCTAATAAGTTTATATTCTCAAATTTGCTTAAATCTATTAATGATCGTTTTTAGAATCTATTAATGATCGTCGCGCCGAATCATTCAGCCGAGAAGGAATCGAAAAAAGAATGATCTTTTGGAAAGTTTAATAAAATGTTTTCTCGTCTTTTAGGTCCACATTAAAACCCAATTGGTCCGTTGTTTGGAAAGGTTTTGTCGTGTTCTTAAGCATTTTGTTTATGTATTTTAAATCTTTACTAAACGACCGTTGGTTTCAATACTTTGAAAGCACCTGGATGCTTTCAAAGCACTATACTTGAAGGATTGAAAGTGTCGCTGAAAAAGTACATGTTGCTTGTTGATCATGCCGGGCACATTTTCGACACAGTACAATACAATATCCATTCAATAGAGTACCTCTGAAATCCTTGGGTTGTTGTAGTCAAAGTTTAAAGCTGTTTAAGTTTTTTTGAAAGTAACCTGCAAATTTCATGTACAGGGTGCAGCAAAAGTTCGGAGCCGCTATGAAAACATTGCAGAAAATTTAGCTCACGCTTTTTTTTGTGTCTCGTATACTTTTTTTCCTTTTTTCAAGTATATCTAAGGTGATTTGTTACAAAAATTTTCTTTTCAGCAGACAATACGAAAGAATGAACACCAAACAACGACGCGATGTAATTCTCGGATTATACCAAGGCGGAAAAAAATAGCCCCGAGATTGTAAAAATCACAAAATATCCAAAAAGCACCGTCAACAAAGCAATTACTCCGTTTGGGCTATTTTGAAAGGCTATTTTGAAAGGCAAGATCTCGATGGAGACGTATCAAACAGTGGATGCTTTAAAATCTGCTCTGAAAAGAGCCTGGGATGAAATAACTGTTTAAGAGTGCGCCACCATCGTGAGGAACTTCCCAAAGCGTTTAAAGAGGTGTATCGAAGCGGATGGTGGAAATTTCGAGCATTTGTTATAAGTTATTTGTTGTTATGATTCGAATAAAAAAATTTGTTATTAATTTTTAACTTTTTTAAGCTAGTTTTTAAACCATTAACTATCTTAAGAAGCGGCTTCAAACTTTTGCCGCACCCTGTATTTTCTAATCAATTGTGTGATTGTATTTTCAGAACGTTTATTGCTTCTTTATGTAAAAGCACCTGCCACGGAAACACCTGCGATCATTGAAAATCGGAGAAAACCGGGAGCACGTCTCGAGAATCACATGCAATTATTGAAAAAACGCTTGAAAATTCCGTAATTTCAAAATCAACAATGTTAGACGATCCGCTTGTTCGGTGGTTTTATCATTTCCTCTGCACCATTTCCACTCTTCTCTCCACTTTTTTGGATGTGGATCATTTTGAGTCATTCGCCAAAAGAAATGAGAGATTTCAAGTGGCTTTTAGTGAAGTTGGCGGTGAGTTTATGTGTTGACAAAGCTGATTTTCTGGTCAATATTTGAATAGAACAGTTGTCTAGCTGATGGAAGAACTCTTTGGGATCTTGATCGGTTTGATTCTCGTCGTCGACCCGTTGTTCCCAGCACCAGCCGGTGCTGTTCTCGGCCCTCGCTGCCTATTTTGGAGAACTTGGAGCTCGTTTAGCGGTTCGTGTCACTCAAATCAATCAAATCACAAAGACGAATTCTAGATGGGCCTTGGCTTTTTCTTCGGAATGTCAATTTTCTTCTCAATCAACAATTGCGTCCGAATGCGGGCAATGGTGATCAACGGGCGAGAGGATATTGTGAGATCCTGTGCAAAACCGTATATTGGTACAAAAACATTTTAATAATTTTAGCGGGCTTTTTTCAGGTATTCCTATCACAATGGGCTTCAAGTTGGTGATGGCTTGTCCTATGCTCGTTTCAATGTATCTCGCACTCCGAGGATCCCAATGTTTGTGAACTTAATTACGAAAAAAAATCTATTTCAAAGGCTTGGCTTTGTTTAGCGACAACATTTGCTGAATAAATAAACTCTTCACTTGTAGCTTTAGGGTTAATAGCTTCTCCAATGGTTTACCGTAGTGTTGAACTGGTTTTTCAGATGTTTCTCGAGAGAATGAAGCTCACTGATGACTATCAATACATTGCGTCGTACGCTCAGCGAAGTGATACGGTCTGGTTGTGCATGGATACATCGTCCACATGGGGGATGACTTTTATTCTGGTATGATATAATAGATTGAAAATTTCTACCGTAATCCTACCGTAGTCTTGAAAGATTAGCGCGTGTTTCTCTCGACATTTATGTGTCGTAGCCGATTATGAATGAGTGGGTCTAAGAGCGTCCAACCATCAAGTATTTGGTATCATTCAACGCAGAATCATTGATAATTATGTTAACTTTTTAAAATTAGAAAGATTTGATAAAAAGAAAAAAAATTAGAGCAAAAAAACTATTTGTTCAAGAGGAAACTTTGAGGCCCCATAATTTTTTTTCTTTTTATCCAATCTTTCTAATTTTAAAAATTTAACATAATTATCAATGATTCTGCGTTGAATGATACCAAATACTTGATGGTTGGACGCGTCCCGACCCACTCATTCATAATCGGCTGAAATTCATAATCGGCTACGGGGGGTTCCCGCCGATTTTGAATGAAACGTTGTAGCGCCGGCAATTTTTAACCTAAACTCACAAATTTGGTACCAATCGACGCAGAATTGAATTCGCTACGAGATGATATAATATTGTCCTCATACATTAAAGGGTTGCTCTACTAGAAAGATTTGCCAAAAAATTTCATTCATAATCGGCTACGACATATGCATTTCTAAATCATGCCAAGTTTTGAAAACCACCGTAAACTTCTCTCGAGTTTTCAATCTTTATTCTAGTAGTTTTTAGAAAATTGACGCGTTTTCGAAACCGTTTTAGTCGAAAAGGACCAATTAATTTTTGAATTTTAGGGCGCAAAATAGTACAAGTTTTGCTATATTAGGTTGGCAAATAAGTCTTTTTGTTCCTTTTCGTACTTCCGTTTAAAACCAACAAATACACCAATTAACCTATGGTTTACTTTAAATAAAAAGTGTTTATTGCTCAATTTCCCATCTGTTTAAACCAATTTGGACTCACTTTATAGCAAATTCAAGACTGGAAACGTGCTTTTCGCGTATAAAAATCTCTAAAAGCTTCTACAAAGAAATTGGCTGAATGAATTTCTCTGAAAATTTGGCTATCTACCCGACTTTACACTCCAAAAATGAGAAATTTTGAACCCGTTTTAATGTATTTTGCAGAAAAATGATTAATCTTTCTAATGAAACAAACAATAGTTCGTTTGGTGTAACAACAAACAAACAAACAATTGGTGTATTCGTTGATTGTAAACGGAAGTACGAAAAGGAAAGAAAAGACTTATTTGTCAACCGAATACAAACTATCCTACCAGTGATCTAATCTTCATACCAACTAACAACTTGACTTGACTTTAGGTTGTTCTTATCGGTCTAACTGGTATGTATGTGGTTAATGTTGTCGCTTCGTTGAACTTATTTCGCGGTCTTCGCTCTCATCAATCTCTAATGTCCAAAGGCACCTACAAGGCTCATCTCGCCATTTTCTACATGTTACTCTCACAGGTGATAAAAGACTAAAACCGGCCGGCAATTTTCTATTTTTTCAAGTATCGCGAGACTAAAGTCTGTCTTTTTTCAGAACATTTACCCGGTTTTTGTCATGATTCTCCCCGTCATCCTCACTGGCATCAGCTTTACGATCAACGAACACACGCTTTTAGCGTCCAATGTTTACAAACATTACATCTACATTGGATTGATTATCTATCCCGTAAGCTGAACAACTGAACACTTTTGTCAACATTTCCAATGTCTCCATTGACTCATTTAGGCGATGAGTTGCATTATCTCAATTATGATCATGAAACCGTACCGTACCTATGTGAAGCGGCACATCTTTGGAATTAAAGACCTACCCAGGACAGTCGAGCCAACGTTAAGCATAAGTGGTGCAAGGTTTGGCTTGATTAAAGCCTTCAATTAACTCAAGGAAATTTCTAATCTCAAATTGAACTGGAAACTTATGATGATTTTAGCCAACCTCAGAATCTTTTCGATTAAAATAATCTTGTAAAAATTTTTCAGTTACAGTAGACTTGGTCAAACGAGATCTTAGACTGAGACTTACATAGACCAAAATTGAGACTTGTCACTTTTTATGAGCTTTTTCAATTCATTTTTGTTTGTTAAAGTCAGAAAACAAATTTCGAATATAGATTTGAACAATTTAACAATGAAAAAATAACAAATTTAGCTCTCGATCTCGTTAAGCGCTCGTTTAAGCCAAGTCTAAGTTGCAGTAACCATTTCAGACTCACTCGAAGCAGTTTATCGTCAAAAGTCCGCCCCGTAATGAACCATCGATCGACCAATAGAAGCTTCTCTACTATGTGAACCAATAGAGCTTCTCTGCTATTGTGTGTATAAAAATAAAATCAATCAGATAGAAGTTGAAGTTTTTTTTGAGATTAAAGAAAAGCAAAAGGAAAAATGATCTCGGTCGGGATCGAACCGCCGACCTTCTGTGTGTTAGACAGATGTGATAACCACTACACCACGAGACTGGATGAATTTCAAGGTTTTCACTTGCCAATAGTCTCTACTTTACTGAGTCATTAGTTTTATTCACTTTGCTATCGTTGTTGGATCTACCCAGGACGCTCAGCATAAGTAGTGCAAGGTTTTTCTTGATTAAAATATTCAATTTGGTAAAAACATTCAGAAGATAATGCTAAACTTGAATTCAACTAGTTTTAGATGATGATTCTAGCCAACTTTACAAGTACATTGAAGCTGTCATTTGTTGTAAAAGTCTAAAATCTGATTAGCAAAATTTTGTCGAAATTTTCCACCTTACTACCTTTCCAGATCGATTCGTAACAGTTTACCTCCAAAAATTCCCTTAATGAACAATCGATCAACCAGTTTTTCTACAATGTAAATCATTGTGTCTATAAAAATAGAAATCAATCTTTTGTGTGTTTAGAAAACAAAGTTAAAAGTGTTTGAAAGTTGCTTAGAACAAAAAAAGAGAAAGAACAATAAGCTAAACGACTTTTAACAAATTCTTTTATTATTAGGTTGTCGGATTATGAATTGCCGTTTTTATCAAAAAGTAATTTTATTATAAAATCAATACAAAAATAATTTAATCTAAAAGGTATTCTCCATCGGTATCTATGACATATCGCTAACGTCCACGCAAAGAATGAATGCCCTTGTTGAAGAACTCGACCGGCTGTGACTCAAAGAAATTGGCCACCCAAATTTGGACTTCATCGCGGTTTTTGAATTTTTTTTCGACCAAGGAATGCTGCATCGACCGGAACAAAGGGTAATCAGATGGCGCAAGGTCTGGGCTATATGGCGGGTGAGGCAGAAGTTCCCAGCCCAATTCACCAATTTTTTTGAGAGTTACTTTTGCGGTGTGTGGATGCGCGTTGTCATGGAGCAATTTTGTTGACGCTGTTTCCACTCCCTGTCGACGAAGCGATTGATCGACGCGGCTTAATTGTTCTTTGTAGAGGTCCGCATTAACCGTTTGACCAGAATTTAGCACTTCAAAATGCACCAATCCTTTGCTATTCCACCAAACACATAGCATCACCTTTTTGCCATGGATGTCTGGTTTTGGAGTCGGTTTTGAGGTTTGTCCAGGGTCCAACCATTGTCGTTTTCTAGTGGTATTATCAAAGGATATCCACTTTTCATCAGACGTGACAATCGACTCAAAAAAACCACTGTTCTTGGCTTGACGCAAAAGAATTCCGGCCATATTGATTCGCGTTGTTTTGCTCAAATCGCTTAGTTCATGAGGCACCCATTTACCGCATTTATTCACCTTACCAATGGCATGCAAGTGGTCAGCAATGGTGGAATGATGACAACCGAACCTCTCAGCAAGTTCTCGTGTCGTTTGGGCAGGATCAGAATCGATGGCTGCTTTAAGTTCCTCATCGTCCACAGTTTTTGGTCGCCTCTCATGTTCTTTGTCTTCAAGGCTCTCGTCGCCGTCCCGAAAGCGCTGAAACCAATTGCGACATTGACGTTCGTTGATAACATCTTCTCCGAATGCATTGCTGATAGAGCGATGGGATTCTGCCGCTGTTTTTCTTTGTTTGAAGTCGTACAACAAACAAATCCGCATTTTATTTTTGATGTCGTTCATTTCCTAAGACAAATTTATATTAAAAATCTAAGCAAATATAGACGAATAATATATCAATCGACGCGGCATAAAACGCTCTTTAATATAGTTAAAAAAGTACCACAAAAATTTATTTGAAAAAAAAATACAAAGCAAAAAAGACAACGGCAATTCATAATCCGACAACCTAATAGGTTTACCGTGTAGCTTGAACGGTATTCTAGCAGTAGATTTGAATCCACTTTGCTTATCGAAATCGACTTTCTTGTTCTTGTCATCGACCACAATTGCAGCTTTCTGTTGGAGCTAAAAACAGATTTTCAGTCTACTTTCTGTTTTTCCAAAAAAAAACTTGCCTTTGTTCCATTCTTCAATGTCATCTCACAAATACACGATCGATTCTGCCTCGTCCGATTAATTCACGACAATTTTATGTGTCTTTTTTGAGATTTTATGTAAATCAGTCCATTTTGATCGTTTTTTTGGAGTGTTAAAAAGTCGTAAACAAAAGATATAGCAGTGAAAAGTGATTAGAAAAGGATAAGAAAATTTTTTGATCACTTTATTTTTAACAAATTAAATCTACATATTCAAATCAAGTTTCCACAAAATTACAAAGAAATCTTTTGCAAAATTTGTTCTTTAACCACAATTTTTCTTTCATTTCTTTTCCTTTACCTCGATTCCCAACATTTCGGGAGCAAGATCTCGAATGAAAATGCTTGGTGGTGGGGTTTTCTTTTCGAATTTCTAAAAACTTGTCATTTGCAAATTACACGTTACCTTTTATCTAACTTTTATCTAACTTTGACAGTTTTAAAGTTTCACTTATAGTTAGAAATGTTCCAAAAAAAAGTAAAACTTTGTCTCTTTCTTGGTTTTTGATCGGTCAAAGCCAAAAATTCACATGGCTTCTTTATTCTATTATTACCTCTTCCTGATCTTCTTCACCATCTTCCACCATTTTCTTTTCCTTTGTTTTAATATGAAAAGGGAAGAAGCGATTGCTTGACCACGGTAAAGTGACAAGCTGAAACACACGAAGTTTCAAGCTGCAGTTGGTTTTCAAAAGATTAACAGGTTCGCAAAAAGAGCAAAACGAGTAGAATTGTTGATTTTTTAAAAAAGCTTAACGTTAAATTAAACCAGATTCAGACTCTTCAATAACAAGACAAACCATAAAGACGAGAAAACCATAGAAAGCCGTGAAACACTCGAATGCATTCACCACTTCTTCTTCCACAATATCCCAAAATATCCCGCGGGTGAGCATCACGGTGAGAATGTTTGCTAAAAACCTAAACAAGCGTTTTGTAACTGAATATCTTTCGATTTTTAATCACCAAGGTGTCATCAGAATCGCCCCAAAAGCAATATAGAATGAGCGTTTTTCTGGATATTTCTTTGCAGAATCTCGCGCGGAAATAAGAAAGTAAACCCAGGTGATAAGCTGAAAAATGAAACAAAGATTTTCAATATTTTCTTACCTTTGTAACAGCCACCCCATAGCCAAATGGAGACTCGAAAACGTGTCTAACTCTGGCATTATCGAAGTTCTGAAAGAATTTGGTTCTGGAGCTTGAAAATCAGCTTACACCAGCATAGGAAAACATTCCAATGTAGAGAAATCCATGGATAATTGATAGAGAGAAGAATTTACAAAAGGGAATCGATGAGAGACGAGCACTGAAAGGTCTGTGATATCAGCATAGCTTTTAAATTTCTTTCTTTTGAGTACTGTTGGATAATTAGAGAGTTGGAACTAGGGGAAATAAAAAACTCGTGCGCCGGCGGGACTCAAACCTGTCACCTTTCGCTTACCGAGCAACTTTGCTAACCATTACATCACAACCCACTCGATTTCCCTTACTCCCGAAGGGGTTAAGTAGAAGTATTTTGAGATAAGATATCGATATCGACACGATCGATTTGTTTTAGATGTATTTGTGCGCATCTCTAACGATCGTTATGAGTATCGATTTGGCCTAACTAGGGATACTTTTGGATTTACATTTCAATTTTTGGTCAAGACCTAGCACATCTTTGTTCACTTTTTTTGCGCTGATTTCAATGGTGTATGTCGTTTGGGGATGACTGTGCTAAAATTTTGAGATATTTTGCTTGAAAGTTTACGTCAAAATTGAGTATCCACGAAACCGCACACCCACGAGTCATAAAAGTTCTACAGAGGTTTGTAAACATGAGCTCGTAGCCTAGTGAATAGTGTGACAAGCTGTAGAACCCTTATGACTCGTGGGTGTCCACAGCTGCCACACTATCCACTAGGCTACGAGCTCATGTTTACAAACCTCTGTAGAACCCTGATGACTCGTGGGTGTGCGGTTTCGTGGATACTCAATTTTGACGTAAAATTTGAAGCAAAATATCTCAAAATTTTAGCACCGTCACCCCCAAACGACATACACCATTGAAATCAGCGCAAAAAAAGTGAACAAAGATGTGCTAGGTCTTGGCCAAAAACCGAGGTGTAAATCTAAAAGCATCCCTTTTCATCGTAAGTAAGCCGATTTTCATCGCTTCATCCCCGGCAGTAAACTAACCTTGATAATTTTAAAATATTTTAAAAGCTCATTAAAGTAGAAACATCTTCTTCGCTTCCTCTTTAACTTTAGTGAGCAGACTGAACCACTTTTGCTATTCAAAATTTATACATTAGTCTATAGTTTGATCTTCTGAGTAAAGATATCATAAATGTATCCTTTAACTTGTCCAAGCCAGGCCAAAGTCGATCAGGGTAGAGCTTTTTAAGGCTTTAATCCTAATTCTTCTCAATTTCATTTATTTGCACTTACACAGAGATAAAATTGGGCTACTTTCAAATTCCCTTGAGATCTTTTTCACTACAGATCACAACTTACACATTTAATTCTAGATTTTGAAAATTTTCAAAGCATCTCATTAGCGAACATTTCTCAGAATCCCAGTTAATTGGCCAGTACTATAAATTAGGTACTTGCTTTTCAAAATGTAAGCTTCTCCGATAAAAATACCTACGCAGTAATTGTGTATCCCTTGGCAACGAGTAGGAGAAAAAGGAGGAAAAGCGATTGTTGAACACCTCTGAAACGGTACGTGGAAACAGTAGAAATCTTGAAAATTAACCTAACATAATAGCCTGTATTCTTCGAGTGCAATATCCAGATTCCATGCCAACCGTAGCCACCTGAGATTTTTAAGATAAATACCAAATATGGTAATTTCATTTAAAACACTTACAGTAAGACCAGACAAGAACCGAGAGTGAGATGATCTCGAAGAGAATGGCGACTCGACACAATTTGAAAGTCGAATGCAGGAAATGGCGAGCTTTAAGAGCACCTGAAAACAGGATTTTTGTTTGACAGACGTTTGACAGACAAACTTTCTAAAAACTTTCCTTAACCTTTACCAAGACCTAGCCTTGTTTATAACCCTTCTAGCCTAGCCTTCTAACCTTTTATATTAGCTTGATGCATAAGTCTTTACAATTTTTTAAAATACTTTTTTCATGCATTGAAGAAGCACTGATTCTTGCGCTCGTCAGCGCTAGTCAAGATTTTCAAGTCAATTTCCTGACTTAGTCTTTGACAAAGATAACTAAACCCCGCCAACTGGCCGGCTTACAATTCGGGATGACAAAGTACCACCAACGAGGACGAGAAGATCTAGATTCAAGATTTTCAAGTCAATTTCCTGACTTAGAATTTGAGAAAGATAACTAAACATACGTGCAAGAAAGATTGATAAGATGTAAAGAATCAATTCGAGCAGAAGAAAACCAGTATCGACGGGTAAAACATCTTAATCTAACGATTTACATTGTTTACTTTATTTCACTCACAGTATTCATCGGCCGAGAAATGCTTCAAGAAGGTGCTGTCTCCATTCTTCATCTCGATTTTGTATTCTGGAAGAAGGATATTTTAAATTTTGTCATAGAACAAGCTAGCGAGTACCTGCAAAAACGGATAAACCCCGCCAACTGGCCGGCTTGCAATTCGAGATGACAAAGTACCACCAACGAGGACGAGAAGATCTAGAAATAATTGCTTTACAATATACAGATCTTTTAAAACCGACTGAAATCTTTGAGTTCCTTGACAAATTGTCCATTCGAGGCCTTGCTTGACTTCGGGATGACATTCCATTAAAGGTTGAATTAGGGGATCGACGGGTGAGAACAAATGTGTCTGAAGTTTATTGCTTGGATTGGTGAGCTGAATGGCTTAGTAAATGACGCCAGAAACCATCTAACTTCATGATCAAATCAGAATTTTTTTTTAAAACCCTTGAGTCTTTGGCATAATGTGGATAGGAGAGGAAAAAGCACTTGAGAAGAGCTAAGAAAATAGATCTGTCTGTTTGAATGATTACGGTAGTCTAGCCGAAAAATACTTCGGGATGACATTCCATTAAAGGTTGAATTAAGGGATCGACGGGTGAGAACAAATGTGCCTTATAAAGTGATACTAAACTTGTTTAAAACATTAAAAGTGAAGAAGCCCAGGCTTTTGAGTATTTAGTTTAGCAAATAGACGGCTTTATTTTAAACCCGAACATGGCTAAAGTCAAGATTTAGAAGCTCTATGACAGATACAGAGATGACGAAAAGATAACATTAGCTTTTCTGAAGCTCTTTCAAAAACATCTTAGAAAACTACAGTAATCCTGTCTCTAATTTTGTCTAGTCTTCAATTATAAGGCAATAAGATGACGGATTACAGTAGTTTTCCTGAAGCAGTTTCTGAAAGGTGCCAACTTTCTGAAATTACCGTAATTTTCGTTCTAACTTTCATCTAATCTATAGAATTTTTGAAATCTTTATAAATGTGAAATGTAAGGGCAAAAGCCAGCCAGTTTGTAAGGGCAAAAGCCAGCCAGTTTGTAAGGGCAAAAGCCAGCCAGCCAGTTTACGATAGATTTAAAAGTTGATACCATTTTTGAAAACGTCCGAACTCACAATTTGATTGTTTGAAGGCACCGCTGCTGCGACACGCCGCTCACACTGAAAAATTTTAGTGAAACTGTAACAATTGTTGATTCACCGTTAATCCCGTTTGATAAACCGAATCCCATTGTTCTGGAGTGTCAAAGTAGAGAATAAGGCTCTGATTGCCAATTTTCTAAAAGTGATTTGTTTCTTTTACCAAGTCAAACCCACCTTTGGGTATTTGATAGTGAAAGTGAGTGTACCCTGGTCGATAAAGAAACAGAAACGATCCACAAAAACCCATGGAACTGTCTGAAAGAGAATAGTGATAAGGCCACTCAAAATGGCAATGAAATGATCTACTTCATTCACAGGTGCTCTCAAGAATTCTTTTACATTTTACAATAAAACGCCTTTTTGAATTATTCTAACAAATTTCCGTTGGGAAAACAGATTAGGCTACTATTAGGTTGAGGAAAATACGCGTTTTGAATAATACGCGTTTTGAACTTCGAGCGCAAACCCTGTAACAAGGAGGTGTACTTGCGCGATGTTTGCAAGGAGCTTGCAAAAATGTTTATTGTTGATCAGAAGCCAATCGACAACCATTTGCACTAACCCAGAGAGAAAAATGAATCACTTTGATGAAAATTGTGAAAGGATCTCGAAAAAAAGAAGACAACTTTCACAAGACAAAAGAGAGAAAATTCTGACTAAATAGGAAAGAAGGAGTCCTTTTATACGCGACATTGTTTAGGGTACGGTATTTTTAGTGTCTTATTATAATGCGGTAGCTTTTTGGTGACTCGTCACAGGCCTGACGTTCAAATTCAATTCTCAACGTCAACTGGCAATGATGTCTTTCCCCTATGAGGCTTTATTTTCAGTACTTTGCTCAGTACTCTATCGGACTTGTTAAAATGTACTTTCCTAGTGTTCCTTCAAGTTCTTGTAAAAGAGCCAAGTAAAGGATTCAATTGACATAACCCAAAACTTGTTAAAACTCAACTTTACTTGACAAAGTCTTACACTTTACTTACTCGACTTGTTGTTGCAACAATTCTACGTCAACTGGCAATGATATCTTTCCCTTGTGAGACCTTATTGTCAGTACTTTATTCAGTGCTCTATCGAACTTGCTAAAATCTGCTTTACTAGTACCCCTTCAAGTTCTTATAAAAGAGCCAAGTAAAGGATTCAATTGACATAACCCAAAACTTGTTAAAACTCAACTTTACATGACAAAGTCTTACGCTATACTTACTCGACTTGTTGTTGCAACAATTCCACGCGATTGTTTACTCGTATTCGGACTGAATAAGGCAAAGAAGACAAGAAAAGCGATTAAATGGTGGAATCTCATTTTTGAATGTTGAATATTTATATTCAAATTTAAACCATTTAACCCAAACTCATCTGAGCTTTGTGAAGAAGGGATCGAGAGTGAAATTTAGAATTAACGGTGAGCAGTTAGAGTTAATTAACTCTAACTGCTCATTTCGTTGCTATTGGACACAATTTCAACTCCCTTTTGCCCAATTTTAGCTATTTTTCTTATTTAAAAAGTAGAAAAAGTTTAGCCTACGATTAACTCATTTTTTTCGAATATTTCTTCCTCTTTCTTTTGGAAAATTGCCAATTTGAATCCATGCTTCAGTTCTAAAATGAAAATTACCGTAATACGGAAAAAAATAGGAATCTCTAATTGTTTTTTCATTTTATTGTCTCTCACGATTTTCGAAAAGGTGCCCAAATTGAAAAACTAAAGTAATCTTTCCTCTATTCATGTTTGGTTTAATAAATTTGAAAACTTTAGATAAAACTGTTGATGTACGGTAGTTCTACAATTTAGTCACCTTTCAGAAAACGCATTACTCTAACTGTATTTGATATTGAACACTTGCAAAACCGAAAATCAGCTATGTTTTAAGAATTTTGACGAGTTATCTATTTCTGATATCTATTTCTGATATCCATTATTTCTGATATCTATTTCTGATTTATAAAACATTCGAACAAAATGCGTTTTCGTGTTCGTTGTGTTGATGATGACTGTGATTTGCGAGGTGACGACGAGGAAGTCACTTTGGACGACGACACCGTGTGAGTTTAAACTTCAAGTAGCACAGCTCGTGTGCGTGATTGAATAAAATAATAATTCACACATTTTCTAACATCATTTTCTAAAATATGGTTCAAAACATTCATTAATCTCAATCCTTGGTCCGATGGTTAATAATTGTTGGTTTCATTCGAAAATTATGATTCTCAAAGTCTCAAAGTTATGATACTCTTAAAATCTCTATACCTAATCTTCCAAATTACCCATACCATTGCCTAACTCGTCAAAAGTCGTCAAAATTCTTAAAAAATAGCTGATTTTCAGGAACTTTTGACTGTGCTGGTGGTAGTATTGACTGCAGGCTCCCATCCGGAAAAATCATTTGTCTGTCTCATGCTGAGTGTAAGTTGAAAAGCGAAATTAATCTATTGATTGCTTAATCATTTTAATTATGCAAAAGAACAATTTAATTCATCACACAGAGTCCCTTGACAGCATTGCAAGTCGATGTGGCAGCCGGGCATTGAGAACACGTTGTGCCGACCACGTAGACGGGCGTGTTTGCGTTTAAACCTCTGGAAATGTTTTGTAGATGTAAAATAACGAGTACGAGTTCGGTAAGCAGACCATTGTTTCTAGATTTTCATTGCTTTTATGCGATTCACCGCTGGTTTGAGGTAAGGAACCAATTTGTCATTTACAAAATACCGTACACAAACTATTACTTACTCTAGGTTTTGTTTCGTTTTGCAGTAGGTTTTGCATTTACTAACTTGTTCCTGTAGTGACAAACGACCACATATCCACCCAGATTTGGTGTCACGATTTGATAAGCACAACCGACCGCGTAGGTGTTCCCGGTAAACAGCTAAACTGGTGTTTTTTCTATGAAAGGTTAAGTTCCGTCCATAATGGGTGGGGTTTAGGTTTTTAGCCAACAACTTTGCATGGATATTATTTTTTTAAGTTAATTTTGGTATCATTCCACGTGCAATTTTATTCTGCATCGAACGATAATCAAAATAGTGAAAATCAAAGGGTTGGTGCTGAGAAAAACACGAAAAATCTTTAATTGTCAACGGCAAAAAAAGAACCGACAGATGTTTTTGTTAAAAGTCTACCGTATAGCACCGAAAATTTATACTGATCTTGTTCAGAACAAGGCCATTTTTATTAGTCTAGTGTTATTAGAGTACCTGATAGGAAGACTCCTTGTCATGATCGTTTATCGGATCGGTTGATGGAGTGTAAGTCAATGAAGGAAGACCAAAAATCATCCAGTAACTGTTCCAATCCTGCCAGGCTTTTTGGACTAGAAAACAGATCTTTACTCGACTTTTGCATATGACATAATTTCGTCTAACTTTTTTTTTCAATCATCTCCTAGTTTAACTCGACATTTTTGCCTTAAAACAGTCACACTTTTGTATAGATTTACAACTTTAAACAAATAAAACTCACACATTGACGTTGGTGGAAGATTTGTGCCAACCGATGCAAACTCGACTCCATAATGATTCTCACCGACTCCAGCCGGGATTGCAGCCGTCAGTTTCCCTTCATTATTTTGAATCACCTTTGAGGCGGCTCTTTTCCCAGCTGACGTTGCCAATGCATCGTCCCATTTCTAAAATCCGTTACCTTTTGGATATTAGCTTATATGAAGCTTATATGAAGCTTAGAAATTTGCACTTTACATACAAGAACGATCTGTGGAATGCTAGATTCAATTTTATTATATCAAAAAAAAGTCAATAATTCTCGCTACAATTCTTTGCAAACCACACTTACCAGCCAAAACATTCTACTCGCATTCGGATAGTTTTTGCTTTTCCCAATCCAAACTTGCTTACCAAAAGCTAGATTTGAGCGGAAAGTGTTGTGAAGCTAAACAAGAATTTAGAATAAAACTTTTTCATAAACAAACATTGATAATTTGAGCCCGAACTGTTCCATTGAATATCACATAAGAAGAAGAGACTGAAATTTATTTGCTTAATTAAATCTTTTGAATTTTGAATATCTTTCACCGGATATTCTTTTAAAATCCTAAAATTGGGGAAGAAAAAACCCATATAAATATATATTATATTAGAAAAAAGAACCAATCATCTAGCCGATCGAACCCTTGTCAGCTCCGAGCCAAACTGATATTTTAGTTACTATTGTTATTATTGAATGATTTGTCTATTCTTATGTAAATGTGTTCTTCCATGTGCTTATCCCTTTCATCGCCGAGAAGTCCTTGGGATTGTCTGGGATGGAAGTTTCATCAAGATCCTTGGGATTGCCTAGGAGGCCAAGTGAGGCTCTCACTTGGAGTCTCCCTTCCCCTTTCACTCATTTTTAATCTATTCGTCTTATCGTACTACTGTAAATAAAGATACATATCTTCATATAATAAAGATAGGTCGGTCATTTCACAGGGACTAATACGTTGGAGGAGTTCAGTTCGGTTGTCGGGGTGTTAGAGATGGTGGGATATCAAAAGGATCCACTCTCTTTAACTTAACCCAAATTCTAGTCCATATCCGTTTACTCCTAGGAACGAACACCCTTGACCTCCCGACTAAGATTCAAAACTCTTAACCAGTCGACCATGGCGGCAATATATGTAAATGTTTAACAGAAAATCTCTAACTTGTCTAACCTTGCAAGAAACAGCAAAATATAAAGAATCGATGCATTTTTGACAATTGTGTAGCTTTCAAAATGGAAAACTCAAAAATTGGGGTACACATGTTCCAATTTTCCCCATTCAAAAGCGGATTATTCGTTTTTTTTTGACCCTTTTAAGCCATTCATCTCGATTTTCGCTGATCTGCGAGCAAATTTTTGCCACTTTTTCGTAGTTGTGTAGTCTATATTTTTAAATGATCAAATAACAGAATATATTGAAAAATTTTCAGCCAAAACTGGAAGCAGCCATAGCTCCAGACATCTCCAGTCCTTGGGTAGATAATTCTATTTTATTTTAACACATTGACGACCGCGCATCTTTTGCGAAGCGGCCGATTTGGACCAGAGATCAAAATGAATAACCAAATCTCAGAAATTTGAACATGAGGACTTAAAAGGCTTTGAGATCCGATTCCAGACTTAAATTTAAGCCAACAAACTCCATAAACCATAAATGATATATTAGGAAGACACCCTCAAATCCGGCACAGTCGGCTTTCCACAGGTGTTTCTAGGCAAGCAACAGCACAAAAGACAATAATTTTGAAAAAAGGAACTTAAAGTTGTTAACGTTGGCCGTATTGGTAAGTGTGTTTCCTTTTTAGCATTAACACATTGACGACCGCGCATCTTTGACGAAACGACCGACACGGCAATAATGCACCACCATCAATCCCTTTTAGATCATAAATTGAAATCAAATACGAAATATCCTGCTTGAAATCCACCCAGAAATTGTCGTAGCCTTCCGGGATTCCATAATCTGCAGTCCCATTCCCGCATACCAAAGTTGCGGCCGCGTAATTCATGAAGTCGAAAATATTCGAAGTGATATTGGCCATTTGGGTGAACGAGAGAATTTCACGACGAAATGATTGCTTGAAGTTCAATTTTGATCGGTTACACTTGTCGGCGCTTTGGCTAAATGGGGCAAATGAGTTGATCAATTCACACTTTTACCCACAAAAATCGAAATTCTTTGCATAACGGATTTGTATTCCAAAGATAGTCCGTTCTTTCTACAAAGAATTTTACAACTTCAGTCAAATCGAGCCTTATCATTTCCAGCACAGAACTCCTCGTCGTCCCAGAAACTCGGCAAATCGAAAATTTGAGAAACGAGTTGAATGGGAAATTGCTGGAGATCGGTTTCAGAAGAGAAAACAAAAGAAAGCTCATTGCATCGATCGATCAATATTTCTGTCAACAGTGTTTCTCGGGAAACATCGAGGAAACATCGAGCATCGAATGTAGTTCTTCAAAAGTTCTTCTTCAACAAACATTCGCACAATTTCCTCTGTGAACATTTCGCAAAATGGTATCCGAAACTGCACTCAACGAAATGTTTGACAAAGGAATATTTTGTGACTATGATCTCACCAAATTTTTACCTTATTTTATCGATTTTTCACTTTGATTCGTTTTCAGAAACACTGAAAGCGCAAAGAGACTTTTGCTATATTTAAATTGCGCAATGTAAAGCAGCCGTTTCCTTTGCTCCCTTTTCTGCATATAACCGTCATAAAATGGCGATAAAATTCATTTCTTAAGCTTTTCAAATTTTCAAAATACCTGAACTGGAAATTCCTAATCGTTTATTGAAAATGGATTCTCTAAATGGCTGGGAAAGCTGCTTACTCGAAAGTGGCGGTTTTGGGACGACATTTAAAATTCAAAAGGATCAACTGTATGTTCGAGATACCGTATTTATTCTAATAGAAGCAATTTTGTGAGATGATTAAAAAATAGAAGCCCAACCTTCTAATAGAAGAAACAACGATGGATATTCAGCTTAGTAGACTGAATATCCTAAATTTTGAGCCTTTAATGATTATAATATATTTCCTTGAGAAAAATTCCATTCTTTATCATTTATTTTGCATAAGCGATGGCAATTTTGATAAGTTTTTCTCGCAATTAAGTAATCAGCTTATTTAGATCGAATTTAGAATTTAGAATTTTTGGTACTTAGGCAATTAAATTCTGTCTTAAAGGGGTACTCGCGCTAAAGTTTTCTTTCTACTTTCTACGAACTATTTCATCAATTTTTTTTAAATCATCAAAAAATAGAAACGCAGCCTCTAATAGAAGCAATTTTGTGGATTAATTGAAAAATAGAACCGCATACGCTTCTATTAGAAATAAATACGGTACAGATTTTTATTAATTAGTTGTATTTTTGAATTTCATTGATTTTTCATTACAGACAACTCGTAATGAAGGAGCTTTTCCGAGAGCCGAATCGAGAAGATCAGCACAAAGAAATGAGAATTCTCAAGAAAGTCGCTCACCGAAATATTGTGAAATACAAGGATCGACCGCATGACTTTCCACAGAAACCGGGGAAATATCTAATTTTTATGGAATATTGTGAGCGAGGATCGTTGAGAAATGGTTAGTTCAACAAATTAACAACAATACTAATTGAAAGTACAATTGAAAGTACAATTGAAAGTACAATTGAAAGTACAATGAAAGTACAATTGAAAGTACAATTGAAAGTACAATTGAAAGTACAATTGAAAGTACAATTGAAAGTACAATTGAAAGTACAATTGAAAGTACAATGAAAGTACAATTGAAAGTACAATTGAAAGTACAATTGAAGTTCAAAAAGAAACCAGTATTGATTGATTTCAGTGATTAAAAACTCAAAAATCAACTACTCGGTGGCGTCTATTGTGAAATGGGCGGAGGAGATTTTCTCGGCGCTCGTCTATCTCAAATCCGATCTTATCGCAATCGCTCATCGTGATATAAAACCCGACAAGTAATTATGAGATTTGTGAAATTTTTAACAATAAAACAGTTTAGTATTTTTGTGACTGATGACTTCACGCTGAAACTTGGCGATTTTGGGGTGATCAAACGATTTGATGGGAATGATATGAATACTTTTGCGGGTACACCGAAATACATGGCACCCGAGATTTTGCTGAAAAAGAATTTGTCTTTTAAGGTAATTAAAGTTTATATTGTGACAAACAAAGAAGTTTATCAATTAACGCTTTTCTTTTTTACCCGAAAGTCGAGTTTAACTATTAGGTTGTTCGGATTAGGAAACATTTATTAGGAAACAAGCGTTGCTAAAATTTTTACTTTTTTTACTTTGTAGGTTAGATTTCGAGCTTAGATAGCTTTAGATTTCGAATCAATTAACGCTTTTTTTACCCGAAAGTCAACTTTAACTAGCTTTTTGACTTTCCAAAGTTCGAAATCCAAAGCTATCTAAACTCGAAATCTAAAGTTCGAATCTAAATTCGAAACACAATACTAAGATTTTATCAAAGAAAAATAGTGAAAGCTATGTCTGATGGACCATTTTTTTTTGACTCATTTGTTAACTGTCAGCTCATTTTTTATTTTACAAAATAAAATTTGAACTTAAAATTCGCTTGAGCGAGATTTAAAACCTAGAAATTCGACTATAACTTATTTTATCTTTTACTTTATCTGATCAATTTTACAGGAGGTACAAAAGTGTGATGTCTTCGGAGCCGGATTGACCCTTTGGGAGCTCATCGAAAGAAAGTAGTTGACCATTTCTAACTTGTCGAAAACAAGAGATCTATTTTAGAGATCTCCCAAGTGACCTAATTTTTACTCCAACAACTTGTCCAAACGTTAAGCTACTTTATGATCTTGTATTGAAGTACGGGAAGCTAAATTTTCAGGTCAAATGTCACTTTTAGGTGTTCTTCTAAAGAAATTGATTTGGAAAAGCGTTATGATGCTCAAATGGGATTGGATAAAACGAAAGATTTGAAAGAGGTTCGTGCGTTGGACACGCCGGTCCTTTTATGGATTGGGGTTGGGAATACAAAACATGGTCGGCGCCATGATTCGAACGCTCTACTAGTGAGCTACACCGACACGTATCCCATTGCCGCCAGGATAGGGCCTTATGCCTTACAGCTACCTCCTTTGGTATTCTAAACCGCGAATAACATATACCCAATCGCTTTAAGTTTAGTGATTTGGAATTTATTAGTTTATCGACCAGAGTTATTAGTTAATTCGTTATCTTTAACTTTATCGATAATCTAGTATTTCAGCTTTTTCTCAACTTTCGTCCAGAACCAGAATCAAAACCTCGGCAAGATCGCCTAAAAATCCCCGATGGACTTTGTTTGGTAAAAGATTCGGAAAATTTGGAAAATTGGAAGATTCCAACTATCACTTTTGGCGAAACTGTTGATAAGAACAAGAAGAATAAAGAAGAAAGACCGGAAACGAGCAAACCAAAAATCGACCCAGAGAATGAAGAGCTTTGGCTAGAATACATGGAAAAACTTGATCTCAAAACGGATTTCCAAAAAATGACTGTAACAAAGCTACCAGAGAATGACGCGATGAGCCTTCACAAGCCACTAGGCTACGGAAATTTGGAGTTAGGTTATTTTCGTCAAGAGATCTATGACGTGAATGATGTCCGATGCTCTCTAATAGATTGGTTCTTGAGTGCTTTTAAATGGGAAGCTTTAAGCAATGTGGAGAAGAAGCAATTATTGGAGGGAACTGCTCAAATCCAGCAATGGACTGGTGATAATTTCTTCTCAAAAAAGCATCGAGACGTGCATTGTGTCCTAAACGAATACGCTGAGGAAATGGAAATTGTGGAGCCAATTGTCTCCGCGTTACAAAGATTCGCTTGCGTCGTGAGTCAAGATTTCTACTATCAGGATTTCTGTGTGGAGTTCTCGGTTGCAACATTGTGGAACTGTCAATCGTTGAAACTCTCATGGGTGGAACTCATCGATTTACTTGACATAGCTATTCATAACATACAAGAAGTGGAGAAAGTGTTTACTAGAAGAAAACTTTATGATACTCATTACGTGGGTGACTCGAGAAACGAGTGGTGCAAGATTAGTTGGGCTGGGTTGGCATTCACGAGAGATTTGCGGGAAATCCAAATCTATGATCAGGTGAGGAAAGAGGTTTTTGAGCCGGAATCGCAGAGTAAAACCACTATTGATATTGATAAGATTCGACGGGTTTTGATTGA